TCAACATCGGTCTTAGTCAATGATCATGCGTTAGATGATTCTATTCTTTAATCTAACGAGGGCCAATCCTCCTCAAATATATAATTCTGCCGAGCAAACCAAAATTGAAGTCTCTCGAGCAATACTTGCATACGCGGGACAAAATTAACACCATGAAAGCAGCTTGGTGGACTCTTCAAATAATAAGTATATACACGCGGATCCATTGTTCCAACGGATTTTTAGTGTATATTTTAGTATACATTGAACATTTCAATGGATTGATAACCTCAAATCATTGCTGAATAAATTGCTATAAAATTATAAAATTTTAGAACCATATGCTTATTATTTTATATAATATTTGTATTGTTTTGACATTATTAATTTGGTTTGATGTATATTTTTTATTTTGAGATGATGTAGTCATTTGTGTCGAATTCTGAAATTATTTATTGTGTTCAGATTGTTTTTTTGAATATTATTTGGGTGCATGATTTATGATTTATGATTAAATTTATTTAAATTAACATGAAATTTGAATGAAGTAGGTGAAATTAATAAAATATGTGTGAATGTTTGGTGTTATTTGGTTTTAAGTTAATAAACAATAATTTGTTTTTAATTGATATAGTGATTAAAATAGACTTGATAAAAAAGATTTTATTAGTGTATTGCCAAACATGATTTTCATCTAGTTTTTAGTAATTTTTTAATTTTTGGAAGATGATTTTCCAATTAATTTGAATTCTCCACTTTTTTTTTACCCTCATGTATTTAATATTTGAAATTATGATCTATATATGATGCATTTTTTTGGCACTAAACAAACTAGCTCCTTTCCACAAAAATAATAACAAGAAACATTTCTTTTAAAAATACAATTTTTATTTTAAATTGTATATGATTAAGTCTCTAAAAAATAAATTACATTTTCATATCTTAGCATATTAAAAAATCATAAAAAATAGTCTTTTATTTTTATATGCTTTTTTATTTAATAACCAATTTATTAAAGTCATTAGAACTTGGTCTACATTTTAAAAATACCAAAAAAAATTATTTTGTTTATTTCAATATCAAGAATTATGAACTTATACATAAATGTATTCCTAATATTAAAAGAAAAAATACAAAAATATATTTAACTCTAAAATGACTAAGTTTTAACTTGATAAGATAATGACCTCGTTACCAAGAAGAACTTTTCTTTTTCTTAAACTTCTATAGACCAATAACTAGAAAACATGATAACAACTTAATTTATACCAGACAAACAAACAATATAGTTTATTTTAGGTAATGTGTGCTAGCTATGGGTGTACATCCCTTCTATACACAACTAGTTCTCTTATCCAGACTCTAAGACCAGTTAAGGTTTTTAGTGTTCAAAATACTGGATGACAACTCCATCCTTTTTTTACTAATAAAAAACAAAAATTTCTTATTCTTTCCTCCATCACCAGAGAGACCTCGACTCAAAAGGATAATCACTGTGAAGCTGCACGCGTTTGACATGTAGCTTGATAAAAATAGGCTTAAGTTTTAATTTGATCATTAAATTGGGTTAAAAATCTTTTAAATCATTCTAAAAGCCTAATCATACAAGAAACTATCTAAGCAACTAATTTTGTTTTCAAGCCTAATTAGATCCATACACTACTTCAGGATTTTCTTTATTTTTCTTGTTCTTTTTTATTCCTTATTTAGATTATAACTTTCAATTTATTTATAATTTTACTAATAATCATATTTTTTTTAATGTTTAAACAACCTTTAGGCTATCTGTAGGAGATAATTAATGAAAATTCTAAATTTTTTTTCCATAAGTTTCTCTAGAGTTAATGATTAAACTTCAAGATTAGAAAACCCTAATTTCTTTATTTATAACTTAGAATTATGAAATTTATAGTTTGTTTGGAATCAATTTTCTACTGTAATTAAATTCAGTTATAGTATTTGGTTTGAATTCAATTGATAAATAAGTTGAATTCACATGTTTAAAAGAGATAAATTTCAATTAATTTTGTTTCATATATTACCCTTATTAGGGGTAATCATTTTTAGTTTGGTTTGGCTTTTACATATAAAAACAACCATATCAAAATTTAAAAAAAAAACAGAAACTAAACCAAACTCAATTCCAACCAATCGGTTTTGATTCAGTTTTGTTACCTATGTCAAAAACCAAAAAAACATATATTGTTTTTTGACATTCAAAAGCCACAAAATCAAACTTATTTTCAACACCAGAAGCCCCCACAACAATGTTGAGTCCATACCAGTCTTTTCTAAAGCAAATGGCCTCCTACAGAACCACAAAAACACATTGCACTCTCTCACAATAATCAATCACTCCTCACTATCACAAAACTAAAAATTTACATCACCGAAAATCATACTCCAAACATAAATCATCACCAACACAATTTACATAATTTAAGTATTAAAAAACCAAAACCAAACCAAACTAAAAGTTTTTTTAAATATTATAATCAGTTTAATCAATTGTTTTGATAGTTCAGTTTTTTTTTGTTTTTTTTTTTTAGTTAAATTGATTTTTTAATTTTTTTTTATTCACCCCTAACCCTTATTACCTTCATCTTTTTTCTTCTATGGTTGTTGGAAGAAAAAAAAAGGCTAGATGTATACTTTAAAAGAGTTAGATTTAATATTAAATTTTTTATCTTTCGAATTTTAAATAAAATGAGTTAACTTCTTATTTACTTTTGTAGTGTTTTAAAAGATTAAATTCTATTTAAAATTTAATTCTTAACACTAAATATTCTTCTTCTTCTTTGTTTTGGTAACATTGCTTTGTATGGTGAGCCTGGTGGCTAGTGGGCTTATGATAAGTATACAGGCACGCAACCACTAAAATGAAAATGATGTGCTGAAGTGGAGTCCATAAGGAGATTGACCACGAAACCACCATTTGCGCATAGCCCACCACCAAAAATGTTCTTCCCCTAACAACAAAGATTTTATTTGTTTTTATATTTTAAAAAAATTATTTTCTTTAATTTAAATTAATATTAAATACTGTCTGGATCATTCATATTTAAATAAAATAGTAAAATACAATCTGTTTAAAGGATAATTACAAAAGAATTTTATTTTTCTTTTCTATTTTTATAAAATACACTTTACATAATAAATAAAATAAAAAATAAAATATTGAGGATGTCAATTGTAATTAAAAATTTAAAATAAATAATAAAAAGTGTAATTTATAAAAATATATAAAAAATAAAATTCAAATTAAACTATGGGAAAGCTTTTGTAATTATTCCTTTACCAAATCAAATTCAATTATATAGAATATCCTCATAACTTTTTTTGTGTTTTCATGCTCCATTTATTGTTGGACTTTCTTTTGGTACATCTTATAATCACCCATCCAAAAAAAAAATAGTTAGTAATAAATAAATATGGTAATTCCTTATTAATCGCGCATATCTTGAAAATAATAACAGCAATAATCGTTAGCCTCTCGTTGGGCTTCTAAGGGCCCATAAAGCCCACAAGAAACTTTGACAAAGGAGCGGTTACAAATAGCCCACGTATATCGCCTCTATGCCTCCATAGCGGGCAGCTTTAGGGTTTCTCCAGTTTAGTTAGGGTTTTTACTTCTCCATCTTTTCGAAATATCTCTCTTTCTAGGGTTTCCTTCTACTATTAAGCGCCGCCCTTAAGATCTCCTTCCTTATAAAATGGAAGCGTTTTGAGTCATAGCTGCGCAATATTAAACTTTGTTTTAGGAGTTTCTCCATAGGGTTTTCCTATGGAGTTTTTCTGTCTTCCCTCCTGAATTATCTTCCGGAGGCATTTTCTTTGTCTTTGGATCTGTTTGCTTATCCTGTTTTTTGAACTGCTAGGTACGTGATAGTATAAAATTATATTCTAATCTATGCTTGTTCCAATCAATGGGAGCTGCGGTTCCACTGATGCCCATATGAATGAATGGCTCATAATTAGATGGGAAACAATAAAACCCTTGTCTAGCTTTTGCTCAATTGCTATTTTTTTATGTGGGTTACAGTTTATTTGGCTAAAATTTTCATGAAATTGGCAAGTATGATGATTCAATTAGATGTGTGAATGGAAATTAATCCATATTGAACTCAACCTTTTGAGGCATTTTTAATTGTCTGACTTGCGTGTTTTCTATATTACCTGTTTTTTAATCTTAGTGTTGCAAGTTATTATTTTGGCTGTTTTAATTTGTGGTCGATGATGATAAATCCAAAGGCTTGTTTCTCAAAACATTCGCAGTGGCCGTCTAAGTGCTTTCGCCTTCGCCAGGCTTGAGAGCTTATGCTGCTTTTATCCTTCCTTGGATGTCTGAGATCTCGCTTTCACATTCTATGTTACTTCAACTCTGTTACATCGTCTTACTGTGTGTGAGCAAGTTGATGTTTGTCATTCTGCTGCTATCTGTTATCAACATGGATTTGACCCCAGTATTTTGATGTTTTTTCTCTAATGTAATTGATTATGTCCAAGTTTCTTGTTGATGATGATAAATCCAAAGGCTTGTTTCTCAAAACATTCGCAGTGGCCGCCTAAGAGCTTTCGCTTTCGCCGAGCTTGAGAGCTTGTGCTGCTTTTATCCTTCCTTGGATGTCTGAAACTTTACTTGTTGCATTTTTCTACACTTAGTGTTTAAGGCAGTCGTGTTAATCTGTGATTTGTTTTGACAATACCTTTTTCAATAAAGGTAACCTGATAAATTATTGCTCTTCTTTTGGTTTCTGTTGATGATGATAAATCCAAAGGCTTGTTTCTCAAAACATTCGCAGTGGCCGACTAAGAGCTTTCGCCTTTGCCGGGCTTGAGAGCTTGTGCTGCTTTATCCTTCCTTGGATGTCTGAAACTCCAATCCTTAATGAACTTACAGTTTCTGTTTATAATGACTTTGAGATTTGCAATTAGAATTTTTTGGTCTGAATTTTTAACATGTCACTGTATGATCAATGATGTCTCCTTCATTGTCTCCATTCATAAATGTTTTCATCGTACTGAAGCAAGCAATTCTCTGATACAATCATGATATGCATACTGAAGTCTGATATTGTTCGCTGATTTTTTTTCTGGAAATGTATTGTAGTGGTCGGTTTTTTTAAATGCAAGGAATTGTCTAGAATCATATCTGTGTCTGTAGAAGAGCATTTGCCTCCTCAATCCCCTGATGTTTGAAGCTTTGCTGCCAATGCCTTTTCTGATTCTACATATCGTGGAGCCGTTCCCTCCTCATCCAAGAGGTTTAATTTGTAATGAGATGCCAACGTTGCTGTGTTATCCGTAGTCGTTAGCATGAGGCCAAATAATTCGGAGTACTTTATTTTGCATTTCTATGAGGCGAAGGTTTTTGATATTCCTGCAAGGCAGGTGATGTGAAAGTAAAAGAAGCAATTTGAGGCAACAAAAGAAGACAAAATGCATAATTCTCATATCGATATTAAAAGCATAAACGGAGTTCATTACAAAGAAAATCCTTTTCCCAATATTATGTACAAAATTTACTGTGAGAAAATCACTTTGGTTTCAAGACAAGTGGGACTTTCTCATCAAGCCAATTCACTGTATCAAGAGCTGGAGCAAAACGGGTTATCTGATTTCCTTGAGTGTTTTCTTCAATTGAAAGATCAGAGCTGTTTGAGCAAAATTGATTTTCTTTAGGTAAATTTCATGGCTTATGCTCGAGCCATAATCTTGCTAGATATCGTCTGAGACGCTTCCGCAGTCATTCTATCCAGCACAAACCTTGGAAATACACTGAGAGCAGATACCACCTTGTTGATATAACATGTGTCGACATTTGATGTACGCTACTCGTAGGGTCCAATTCATCCTTTGTAAAATACAAGTAATTGGTACTTTGTATTCTTCCAACCAATTGTTGTATAGGTTCATAACTGTTATCTAAGCTCACACGAGCTTCGTTCAACACTTCTTACACAGCTTTTCGGTGAGGCTCTGAACTCAATTAAAAAAGAGAAGAAATTTCTTGCAGTCTTTTTTGACTGATAAACTACGTTGTATTCCTTCATAGAGTTTTAAGAACTTTACAGCCTCATCATCATCACCACCACCTACTACTGGCTTCTTTATCTCTAGTTGGGTTTCTATCCTCTATCATTCTTCCCATGGAGCATAACAACTCTCTCATCGGAGCAAAAGATGCTTGCATAATTGCATCGTTCATAATTGCATGTGATTCCCCTTTGTGGTTTGGATACCCATAATTATGAGCTATTGCCCAATAATTGCTTGAAGACAGACAGGTTTCTTTAAAATCAACCTGGTATGTCTGTTGTTGGTTTATTTGATATTATGATAATAAGTGTTGTTTAAATTTTTTTATTTTAAAAAAATAATTTTTGATATCAATATATTAAAATAATTTAAAAATATAAAAAAAAATTAAAAGAAGACACCGTGTTTGTTCAGCTGCAATCGTATTAATCTCCAGTTTTTTTCTTTTCCAAATCTGAGCATTCCCAGTTTCAGTAGAGAGATTACCTCTATTAAGGAGTGCTACAGTATTTATTATTCACTTTGCTTGAATAGCTAGCCAAGTAGAGAGCAACAATTTGCACATGGAATAATCGAATAAATTCATTCATAAGATCTATTGCAGGATTATGATACAAGTGCAATTCTCGTTTTTTGATCCATACTCTCAGTCCTTGCGTGCATTTTCTTGCTTTTGTGGGGGAGGTGACAACCAGCTTTGATGTTCAGGGAAGGAAGATTGCTAAGGTTTTTCTTATTCAATGTAAAATTTATAATATTTAATGTAAGGACTTTTTGTAGATTATAAATAAATAATCAAATATTTTTTATTGATTTTTTTTTAAAGGATATTAGATGTGAGCACATATATAAACTTCAGTATGTAAAATACAATTTTTCAAGTTATAATGAATAACTACAATTTGAGGATGATTTTTCTTTTAAAAAAATAGAATTTAGATTAAGGAAATGCATTTTCTCTTTAATAATTTTATAATTTTTTCACTGCAAACATTTAATTATAATTATCTAATTATGTCAATAATGAATCTCAAAATAGCAAAGTTATTAAACCACTTAAATCAACTTTGAATCAACTTAATTTGTTTTAGTTTGTAATTATAATTTGCTTAGTTTGTAATTATAATTTGCTTGTGAGTTGAACCATATCTATCAAGAAAGTGAGTTGAACCACCTTATCTATCAAGAAAGACTAAGATAATGTTGTCAACTTCGACTTATCCATCATGTTTTTTATTAAAATTGAAATGATATCAACCCATCTAGTAGATAATCTAGTGATAAAAACTTAAAATTAAAAGATTTATTCTTTTTATTGTTATAAATTCAAGAAAACTTATATGATTATTAATTTTAAAACCTATAAAATTAATTAAGATACATATAAACTAACCCAACACTCAATTTAATAAAAAAAAAAAGAGTTAAATGATAGTAGATTTTCACAAAATAAAATAGTTATTCATCATAATGATACTAGCAATAGCAGTGCCAGTGAGTCAAGATGGTGATGTTACCTTCCAAAATGAAAACTTATTCGGAAACAAGATCACTTTCCATTGTAACAAAACACAATTAAAAAAAAATCAATCACTCAAACCTTTTCTCGAAAAAAATAACTATAATAATAAATTCAATCGTATCAATTAAAGAAAGTGCCAAGCTTGATACCACAGTACAGTTCTGCTAAAAGCACCGCAAACCTTTAAAAGAGATGGAGACCTAACATTAAACTTCCACTTCAATCTCCAAACTCCCAGCTCCTCTCACTAAACAAAAATGGAAGTTCTCTGAGTTTTGCTTCAAGTTAAAATCCTCAAGACTAACAAGATTTATTACAAGTTAAAACCCTAAAAAGTCAAGAATATCATAAATAACCATGAGGAAACTTCTAAAATAGTTGGTTTTCATTCACTTGTAGAAGGAAATTACATCCTTTAATATATTGAAACTACAAAACTCTAATAATAACCAGAAAAACCTAATAATACTAAATAGAAAAATTATATCCTTTAAATATATAAAAAAATAAAATTTCTAAACTAAATAAAAACTTAAAATAACCAAGAAAAATATTTACTTTCTAATAAAAAAGAAAAGCTCCCTAACATAGTTCTGTTCTTCGAGCAAAACCTTTCTTAATCAGAAACCATCCTCCTTTACCATTACCTTTCCTAATCAGAAACCATCCTCCTCTTCCATGGACATGTCTTTCTCTATGAACTCAAAACATGGTGATTTAGCAGCACATAGCCAAAAAAACCTAGGAATCATTGGACAATGATACCAACTAAAGCCTGTGAAAGCAAAGGATGATGTAACTTGTTACAAGTCAAAACAACGAGGGATGAAAGCAAATGACGTTAGAATTTATTACAAGTCAAAAAAACCAAGACTGCTATAATAATAGAAAAAAATCATAAAATACTTCATTTTTATTATTCAAGTCTCATTTGTCAAAAAACTATTGCTGCGGTATCCACTGTTGTAAAACTAGAAAACTTTAATAATACAAGATAGAAAAACTACAAAGCCTAATAAACAGAATAGGAAAATGTAAACTATTCTCTTAAGCCCTCTCTACCCCTTCAAGCACCAAAAGACAACTGCTTCAATTTCTCTAGGCAGCAACATCTCTTCATCTCCATCAAATTCAAAATCATCACCGCCCTCAAAAGTTACTATTCCTATGCTTAACCATTGCAAAGCAATTGCTTCATCCTCAAAACTGTGTTGCAGTGTGTGATAAATGATAATTCCCGCTGGAACGTAAGTGTTTCAACAGCTAGCAGCAATGGTCAATCTCATATGTATTTCAAATCATTTCTCACGACGAGCTTGAGAGCAACACAGTTTATTTGAGTTGATTTCACCTATTTGCATTTCCTAAATTAAAAATTACAAATTTCAGCATGTTTGTTCTAATCTCCGAAGCCATGCTCAGACCCTACATTCCACAACATACCAATCTAGGGAAAAAAAACACATCATTCAACAAGAAGCTGCTTTGCACAAAACAAATAAAATCCCAGTTTTGCAACAAGCATGGCAAAGCGTAAATAAAGATAACTAAAATGAAGATGACACAATAAGGATAGGCTAATGCTTGGGGAAAAAACTTCATTCAATTCTAATTAACATCTTCCAAAATCTTTTACCACAAATTGTAACAACTGCAATTCCCACCAAAATAAATCAAAACTACATCACCAAAAACAATAGCAGTAGAATGAATAACCAAAATCAATCAAGAAACCCAGTTTGACGCCAAACAGCATTCCTAACCTGTCTCAGATCCCTTCCTTTCAACGTCCTCCCAACCCCTTCGAGAACCGAAAATGTTGTCTTCGGCGACCGCCTCGACCCTCGTGCCACAATCTCATGAGGCGGCAACATCTCTTCGTCTCCATCAAACTCACCATCATCATCCTCCTTAAACCTGCTATTCCTCTGCTTCGCCATTGCAATCGACAACACCGGCACATTCATCGGGGCCGACTGGTTCAATTTCCTTATCGGTACCGACTGCGACGCGTATTCCGCCACGTGAGGCGATCTTGGAATTAATGGGATTGCTCTAGAGGATGACGAAGAAGAAGATGATGATGATGATGCAAGCGAAGGCTTGCGGTAGAGAACCGTGTTGTTGTTGGTTTCTGGTAACGCCGCGAGAATGCCCGAGTTCTTAGGGAAAGCTGTGAGGTGGTTAGATTTACTTTGGAGGTTGTTGGCGGAGGTGGTTGTTGGAGAGGAGGACGAGGAATTGCTTAGGCTTTGATCGGTGTAATCGTTGGTCCAGAGAATATCATCCTCGTTGAGCTCATCTCCGTTACCGTTACTGTCACCGTTTCCGTCGGCCAAGGAGGAGGAGGAGGGGATGCCGAGGAAACGGTAACGGGAGGCGGGGTCCATCCGATTTTATTCAATTTATGGAAAATTAATAATGCGTAGAGCTGGTAGATACAAGAATTTATATGTGTATTTATAGATATTTTAGAAAAAGAAAAAAAAAATATATATATATATAGTAAAAAGGGAGAGCAGGGACTCGTGGGGACTGATGTGGCGGAGAGGAGTGGCGCAGGAGTAGAAGTGGGAGAGGAAAAGCGGAGAGAGGCGGAGAGAGAAAAGAAGGCTTATGGGGGCCGAAAGGTGTGTGGGCCCGATGGGGTCGGTGTCATGGATGTCGTGGCTGATGTTATTTTTTGGGTTCCTGGCGAAGTCTGCATTCGGTTCGAGAATTCGTATCTGCAAATTAAAAAAAAAAAAAAAAACACTAAAAGACGTTGAAAAAACACTGCACGTGTATACACAAGTCACTGAGGAAAGCAATAATGTTTTTTAAACCTTGCCAAAGTTTTAATGGTATAATTATTTTTGCACATGATAATTTTGGTATTCTAAATTTTGTTTTTTTTCTTATCATTAGGG